CTGGGTGGGTTTTGGGTAGATTTTTCCAGATTTTGGCAGTTTTTGGGTAGATTTTGGCTCTTTCCGGGTGGATTGACCCCGTTCCCTGCCCCAGGCGAGTTTGGCGAGGTGTGGTTGGGTTTCATTGGATTTTGGGTGGATTTGTTGGTTTCTGGGTAGTTTTTTTGGTGTATTTTTCCGGATTTTGGCCGTTTTTTGCGTCAATTTTGGTTTTGCGGGTGGATTGACCCCGTTGCCCGCCCCAGGCGAGTTCAGCGAGGTGTGGTTGGGTTTTGTTGGTTTTTGGGTGGATTTCTTGGTTTTTGGGTGAATTTGTTGGTTTCTGGGTGGATTTGTTGGTTTCTGGATGGTTTTTTGGGTGTTTTTATCCAGATTTTGGCAGGTTTTGGGTGGATTTATCCAGTTTTTGGCCGTTTTTTGTGTCGATTTTGGTTTTGCGGGTGTATTGACCCCGTTGCCCGCCCCAGGCGAGTTCGGCGAGGTGTGGTTGGGTTTCGTTGGGTTTTGGGTGGATTTGTTGGTTTCTGGGTGGGTTTCTGGGTGGATTTGTTGGTTTCTGGGTGGGTTTTGGGTAGATTTTTCCAGATTTTTGCAGTTTTCGGGTAGATTTTGGCTCTTTCCGGGTGGATTGACCCCGTTGCCCGCCCCAGGCGAGTTTGGCGAGGCGTGGTTGGGTTTCGTTGGTTTCTGGGTGGATTTTGGGTGGATTCGTTGGTTTTTGGGTGGATTTGTTGGTTTCTGGGTGGGTTTTTGGGTAGATTTTTCCAGATTTTGGCAGTTTTCGGGTAGATTTTGGCTCTTTCCGGGTGGATTGACCCCGTTGCCCGTCCCAGGCGAGTTCGGCGAGGTGTGGTTGGGTTTCGTTGGTTTCTGGGTGGATTTTGGGTGGATTTGTTGGTTTCTGGGTGGTTTTTGGGCGGATTTGTTGGTTTCTGGGTGGTTTTTTGGGTGTATTTTCCCGGATTTTGGCCGTTTTTTGTGTCGATTTTGTTTTTCCCTGTGGATTGACCCCGTTGCCCGCCCCAGGCGAGTTCGGCGAGGTGTGGCGCGGGCGGCTGGCGCTGCCGGGCCAGCCCGAGGCCGAGGTGGCGGTGAAGACGCTCAAGGGCGGCGCGGGCGAGCGGCAGCGCCGGGAGTTCCTGCGCGAGGCCGCGCGCATGGGGCAGTTCCGGCACCCCAACGTGGTGCGGCTGCGCGGCGTCGTCGGCGCCGCCGGCCCGCCCGCCATGATCGTCACCGAGTTCCTGCTGCACGGCGCGCTCGACGCCTTCCTCAGGGTGCGGGCGGCTCCGGGGGCGT